CCTTTTCTCAAAAAATAAAAACAAACGTGAAAAATGTTTCGCTTCAAACTTGATATATTAAATTTTGCTGACTATTTATAGCAGATTAGTTTGCGAACATGTTTGCAGAATTATGGTTACTTTTCTAAGTTGACATTTTCAACGATCAAGCACAAATTAAGATTTGATACTTTATAATTGAATAAGTCATTTATATTATTATCAAGACCCTTTAACTCATTATCCTAAGAGTTTAAGAAATTTTAAAATTCCACAATTGTTTTTTACAGGATCAAGTTGACCCTATGTAAATTTTACTGCTTTACACGAGTCAATACATCACAACTTATACATTTCATCACATTATTTAGTGACATATACTCATATTCAGTTAGGTTTAAAAAATAACTAAGACGACAAAATAAGAGAAACCCAATTAAATTATAACAATATAAGATACTTTTTCAAAAGAAAGTTTTATTTCGTTATTTCCATTGTATTTTTATTGTTTATACAATGTTGTGTTAAGTGCGCTATAACACAATGGAATTTGCCATGGAAAACCTTCTTGAAGATCAGACGACCTATTGAATTTTATTTTAAAACTTACTTCTTTTGGGAACCATTTTAATCATGTCTTCAATTTACACCTCACCATGTTGGCATCAACCACATAATATAAATCTTAATAACAAATACAGAGACCAAACAAATGTAATTTAAGTAGGTTTTCGACAATATTTAAAGTATTTCCTAGTGACCCATTTAATTGAGATAAAATAATAACACCATCACATTAAATATATCAATTAAGTAATGAAATTGATAATTATTTTTGAACCTCTATAATTATGTATTGTATTTAAGGTCTAAAATGGTATTTCCTGTAAATGAAAAGTTGGAAATAAATAGATCGGGCATGATCAAACGTAAAATATATCATTTGTATTTTAACAACCGTTTAACCGGAAATGAATGAATTAATACAATGATGGTCGCTTGTTGAATGTCTGCTTTAAAAGCTAAACAATCTTTTGCTTCTGTTGCATACATTAATAAATATTTTGTATGGAAGCCAAGTATGTAGCATTTAATATGTTCTATTATTATAACATTATAAAACACATGCTTGTTCTTTCTATTGAAGGAAAAAAATGTATTTATTTCCGTGACTTAATCTAAATTTGCAGTTTAAGTAACTTAGAATTTGGTAGACGCCAAATACTCAAACCAAGATTTTTTATGCCCCTTCACATAAAATGATGAGGCATATAGTTTATGTAGTGACCGTCATTCCATCCATCCCGTCGTTTTCCTTCCGAACATTTTCCAGTCCATAGCTTTGTCATTTTTACATTGATTTTAAATATGTATGTGTCGCACATTGTGGCAATGAGTCATAATGTTAAGATCACAGGCTGACTTCAAAGAATATTAACATAAACAATGCACTGATAATCAGGTCCGATCAACAATACTGTCATTGATGGATCGATGCAAGAATTAAGAATTTCTTTCTTGCATAAATGTGTTGGACATAATAACGACGAGCATGAATCGGTTCATACCCTAAATGCAAGGTCAGATCGAAAATAATTTATGATTTTTTTTCAATAAAAGAACACTGGCGTACATGTGTGATCAATAATTCTATTATTGATGAAAAGATTTTTGGAATTGAATGTGTCGGACATAATGACTGCGTGCAGAGTGCAAAGAACAAGTCCTTACCACAAAAGTCAATGTCACACCTGTAGATTAGATGGCGTTATATGAATCTTTGCAAAAGTACACTTATGTTCGGTCCACAATTATGTTATTCCTGGTTTTAGAAGTTATTATGCAAAACTCTGTTTTACATAACGCACTGTCTGGCGCGAGCATAAATCTGGTCCTTACCTTAAAAATCTAGTTCATACATTTAATCAAAAATCATTATATTACTGTTTTCAGTTAAATGCATTGATGGCTGTCTTGTCAATAACGGGTGTCTTGTCAATAATTCTGCCTTTCCTGTATGGATTTTAAAATAATTTGACATAAATGCGTAACACATGATGTTGTTTCGCGCAAAGGGGTCAAGTTTCATAAATTTCAACCCTGACGCTAGTCTAAAGAGTGTCTTCTTTTGTGCATAGCTATATCACATAAATAGAAATGACTGTGCATAAAAATGTTGCTTAATATAAGATTGTAATATGTCATCAGCAAATATTAGCTGACCATTGCGCCGGTCAAGTTCATACTATCATGTCAGAAGTTATGATATGATATGTTTCTATATTATTGAAAGACTCCTTTTTATTGAAGACAATCTGTTGATAGGAATTTCAAATCAAGTGGCAAATATTTGATGGCGCAAATTTATAATCAATATAGAGGACAGGACTACCATGAGCTATTGTAGCTCTCGGTCCAATTGTTTTCTGCTTAAATTGTAAATAATTAACATGTAAATATTACCTTGAATAAAAATATGTGTAAACCAATCAAAAGAGATAATGCTTATTTTTTAACAAATATGATTAGTATTAGTTATTCCCCCTCAACAGCAAACTAGTTGGTATTCCTTATATGTATAAATCAGTTTGTCATGCACAAGTTTTTAATTTTGTATAATATAAATAGCTTATTATCAATAATCAATCAGTCGGTGTCACATTTAAGGACAATCCTGACGATTTATGCCTAATAGTCTTATTGAAAACTATAATACCGTAAAAACAAGAGAAAACATGGATCATTATAATTATTTGTTTCATCAACATAATTTGAAATTTTTTTCAACTGTTTGTTGTATATACTTCTGTAATATTAACAACATTTAGTGTGGGTTATTACGTCTGTAAGCAGAAAGGTCCTAAAAGCCTTTTACAAATTACCTACATTTTAATTTTTGTTAAAAATGCAAGCAATCTTACTGTTGTTTGAGAGACATAATTGACACGACAACAATTGTTTGCATCAACAGTTTTAAAGGAACGTTTCTTGATACCCCATAAAATGATATACATGTCTGTTTGTTATTACGTTTTAACATTTGTAAATAAAACAAATATTATACTTATGATAATTTAACATCATAAATGTAACAGTCTACGGCACAAATATAAAATATAACACAACATTTAATTGATTGATAATAATTCAAACGCTTGATAAAATATATGATAGTTTATATTAAATTTCGCAACTTTTTTTCTCATTCTATACTTATATACTCTATATATACCTTTACCTAAAAACTAACATGGTACCCGTCTACCTTCAATGAAGCCACATTACAAAATACTTTAGCAAATTTGTATAATTATAAACGCCAGAAAAACTATTGAGATCTTGAGACAATCTGTTATCATTGAATTCTAATAAATGACGGGTACAATTTATAGGTAGGAAAATTTTCCGCTATTCAATTATGTCAATATATTCAACTTAAGTTAATTTTATTTTATTGCAAAATATGCATCATTTCGCACTGTAGTATTTTTATATGCTTAATGACCAATATTGTCTCCTTCCCAGTGTACATAAGCTTACCTCAGTCTGGTTTACATGAAAAATGAAGCTTACTACTTAGACAGAGTACACACTGACACAATTATCAAGTTATCAATTTTAACTTGGGTAGGGCTAGTGTTTTCAGATTCATTTTCATTGGTGCTTTATATTTAATAGTTGCTTTATTTATTGTAAGGTTCCTTAATGGCAATGAAAATAAATAATATAGTGAGAATTTCGTATCAAGTTTCAAAAAACATGTGTACATAATTATAAGACCGAAAACATTTAATTTAAAACAATTTTGAAATACAAATGACAAACAAAAAACGTCAACAAATGTAATGACCTTGCAATACAAATAAAACTTTATACATGAATGTTTACTTTGAAATTTGTCATCATTTGAATACACATGTTTTTATAAATATATAGCATTCAAATACATTGCAAAATTTCCGGTAACATTAATAACCTTATTCCATTCATCTATACAATCGGTGGATTTCTATTCATACAAATACAATCGGTATTATCTCAATCTGTAACAACTGATCCGTTACCCATATGGATAATATATCATAGAAAAACAACTTATTGTTTCTGCTTAAACAAGTTTAACAATAAAGAACGACACAATTGAACAGATATTCCGTTACAACTCCGATATCTAAATTAGATATGAGACCAATCGGTTGAACAAGTTATGGTCACAAATAATGATTAATGACAAGCTTTTGAAGATATTATAAAGCAAAGTATATACATTTACATTATTTTCAAATAACATTGTAACCTTATCCATCTTTAACAAGATTAAAATATTTTTCAAAACAATGCAAGTCGAACATTCCATGACACTCCAAACATTTTCGAAGATCATAATGAATATCGATATGATCAATTGCATTTGAATAAAATAATGTTTATTACCACGAAAAAAAGGAAAATGTTTTCTTGCTGCTAGAATGAATTTAAATTTCCATTTCTGGGGATTCAAAAAAAAAAAAAAAAAAAATAGGAAACTTTATTTTGAAATGCTCAATTGTGCGATTTATTTGATAAATAACCGCTCTAGAGGGCGGTTGGTCAGCATATATTTTGTTTACCCCTAGACACATGAATCATTGGCAGAACCCTTCTTGTGTCACGGTAATGTTTTGTAATGTGACATGGGTATTTGGTAAACAGTGAAATCTTTGATTTGCGTGCACATAGAATTGAAGTACACATGGTTCAATAGCACGTTTAAAAAATAATGTTTGAACTTCCATCGAGCCTACGATCCCGTCTAGGAAGTCCATTACTTTATCGGAATAGTAAATCAAACGATTTTTTTTGTCAATTCTGCATTAAAACATACAGCGTTATGTCATGTATTAGTAATCCGTAACGCGTCTTTCAAACCGATTGTCTATTGTAATTTACTAAATATAGATCAATATTGCCAAAAATAGAATTGTATATTTATACAGACGATTGTCTTAATGCCTTTGAACGCGATTGCAATACTTCATTATATTGGCGTTATATTAGTACGTTAAGTTTACAGTTATATTTGTTAAATTGTAAAATATATGGTTGATAAAGTATCCGTTTTTACAGGTACGTAAGATACGTTTAGTACTCTATAATACCTATGAGTTTAAATAATTGAAAAAAAATACAAAAGATGATATGATCATTAATATAAATCACTTTTTTATAACAAGAATCGTTTTATAAACATGCATTTTAGAGTTTATTAAAATTAAATTAGTGTTTTCTTAAAGTTGTCTAGCGAAGATAGAGGTTTTAATGTGCTATTTTATCTGTGTGTGGAGGTGCGGGTAAATGACACTGGCTCTCTAACGTTCATATGTCGAAGTCGGGAAAAAGCTATGTTATCCCTTAGTGTAAAATTTAAGTAGTCAGCGACAACATAAATAGAACTCCCGAAGGACCGTTAGCTAGTTAGTTAGCTTTCTCGCATGAAATAATCTAAAATTCCCGGTGCGAGTCGATCCAACCATCGTGAATGGTAATAAGAAATAATTTGTAGTCCTTGATCACTCAGTCGTGGAGATCTTATTATTACAAAGTTTACAAAAACAAAATAAGTGGTTTTTATATTCAATTTGTGTGATTGGTATTATGATTCATTATTCGAAAGACCATCCTAATGATGTTTTGCCAATAAAAAATTAATTCTAGTTTATATTTTATCCTTTCTGTTACTACTTATTTTCCTTCATATTGTGGCTCAACATTGTATTGCATTAAACCCATGTTTGAATTGATTAGAAATAAGTTATTCATTATTTGCATGATAATTAATATCTTGCAATAATGAAACGATTTATTTTGATCCGAATTATATGTTAAAATATTCAAACTTAAATATCAATTTTAGTTAATAGTACACGGAAGATGAAAATTGCGTAATGGATGAAAATCATCTACCTGAATTAAATCAAGAAACAAAAATGTCGATCAGTTCCAGCAATTGGTATTTGAAGGGACTTGGTATGGTTGTGGTGGTCGCAGTTGCTATTTATTGTAAGTAAATGGACATATTAACAATGTTTGCGTCCGATGAAATTTTGCTTTCCTCTTTTTCCATAAACAGCTATAATGATAATGACTGTTTTATGAAACTCTTGATTTTTGCAATTGCAGTCTTCTAGAAACGATATATAAATAATGATACTTGTGTCACAGTTTGCCTGAACTCACTTTTACATGGATATTTATGAATCGAATCATTTATAAAGTCCCTGTCACCTGGGCGACGTTTTCACGGCGTCCAAATAAAATTCAGAACGCCAAGGTGAGCGCAGTGAGACTGCAAGCATGCTTAAAATAAAGGCTGTCACTCGGTGTTTTGATAAGAGCGCAGTTGGATCGCAGTAAGGGCGTCGTCCCAACCCAGTAGCATATCCTACATTGCAACAGGAGGGCATTGAAAAAACTAAAGTATCACCATCTAAACGTTGTTTTAAGAAACGGTGCTTGTACGGAGATTGTGCGGCTTCTCAACCGCGCTTATACTGCGTGTTTATGGCGGTTTTTTAACTTAATCTTACTAATTAAGCGCTCTTACTGCGACTTTACGGCGCTGTCACGAGAAACAATGCGCTCTCCAAGCGGGTCATCGTAAATAAAAGTATATATTAAGCGCGATTGCAAATAAATATCCTTTTAACCAGGACGAGGGTATTGTCTGTAATTGCAGACTAGACTTTAACTCTTTCCAACTACTATTTTTAAGCTGGCATGGTCTTATTACCTTTATTTGTCTGGGATGGATTAAACAACTGATGCACGAAGCACGTCTTCAGCGCAGTGTGAGTGCCGCAATAGTGCCGTGTGAGCGCCGTCATAGCGCAGTGGAATCGCGTATAACGCTGTAGTAGTGCAGTCTGAATGCAGAAAATTGCCAATTTAAACTCCATAAGAACGCATTATAACGCCGTCAAAGCTCTGAATGGACGCTATTTTTGCAAGAGGAAGTCGTAAACGGCCGTGAAGTCCCCATGTCATCAAAAAGAATTAATATTTTTGTTGATCTCGCGGTGCTTTGTTTAAGTTAACAACACGTGCAAAGTAAAAGCGCGGTTTAATTTGACAGGGCCTTATGTATCTACTTATCATTGGATACCATCACAATTTATAGCGTGGAACCGTTCCATAATGATTATATTGTATTCCCATGGTTGAAAACATGAGTGATCATTAACATCATGGTTTTCGTTTTATGATGCCCAAAATGGCATGACACATATTGTTTGCAGTATCATTTCCTTCATCTGTCCGTCCTTCAATCCGTCCGTCTGTATGTCCTTTCTTGGATGGATTTAAAGCGTATAATGCAGAAATGTGTTTGAAATAATGAAGATGTGTTCCGCGCATGAATCAGGCCCTTGTCTAACCTAACATGTATTCCAAAGTCATGATTGTTTTTTTTTTTCATGAAATTGCATGGATGTTTAGTTCGGACTGATTTTACACTATTTTGAAATATATATTGTATAAAATTTGATTATTGTGAATAGCTTGTCTTATAATGTGCTTTTCAATGCATGTGTGGACTTTTAAAGAAGGAAGCATAAACATCCTCCTTATAAATTTGTTGACATGTAGTTAACATACTTTAGCAGCCCAAAGGTCAGGTTCATATCAGAATATCGGAAGTCATGATTTGATAGTTTATTGATAGTCATGTCCAGTCCTTGTCATTTTTCTGACAGAGACAGGTTTTCTAATAGCTCGGTGCTTTAATTTGTAATGAGTTTGAAGTTTAAAGATTATTGTCTCGCTAGTACTTATAAGGTTAAAAGTTTTATAAAAATGCATCATAATTATTTCCAGTCATCGATTCGGTCAACTTAAAATGGAATTAAAAAAAAATATTTACAATATTAGCATTTCTCGTTATTTCAGTTGTTAGAAGACTGACCAACAAGAAAGGGCTGCGTTCAAAGACTGTACAGATTTTTATACCCGTACAAACACCAACGACTGACAAATTTCGTTCGGCAATCTCATCTTTATGCAAGGAATTTTCATACAATTGTAATTTTTGCTATGATATTGGAAGATTACTCAAGGAGGTTCCTCTAATTGCTGTGTGCCCCATATCTTCCAGGTTTGAACCGGACATAGACTTTGCAATTCATGGAATTCGTAAGTGTATTGTCTTATTTTGTTTTGAAATTCATACTTAATTCCAAGACATATCCACAAAGAAACTTCTAATTCAATTCTGAAATGAGTTATCGTGATAAAAGAGCCAAAAGTAATATCTTTAGCAGGGTATGTTTAAATGTTTTACTGTTAATATGTTGTTAAAAGTTATTGATGAGCTTGCAGAGTTAAAAAAACAAACATAATACAAAATTGTGAAAAGACCGATTCTACATATTTTTATATTTCACCGTTCAATGTAAAATGAAGTAATGATTTAGACCCAGTATATTAAATTAAATGTATATTTATAGATGACTTTTAAATTATATAGTGGGTTATTAAAATATTGCTACGTTTCTACCACGGCATTTTCTTTTTTTTTTTTTTTTTTTTTTTTTTTTTTTTTTTCATTCTTTTACCATGACTATCCAATATAGATTCCATCTATCAAATTGATTGCCGTCTTATGTAAAATAAACATTCATATTTTGCACGTCTGTTTAGCCAACATAAATTCAAAGGTTTATATTAATTTCAGGGACGAAACCATTTGCTGTTCTTCTTATCCACACTGGTTTAGAAAGTTCTCTACCTAGAATACCCACAGCTTCTAAACTTGCCCACAAGGAAAAGTACAAGGACATTGAATTCATTGACATTGCTTACAATACGGACGCAAATCTATATCAATGTGACATGAATGAAACTGCAAGAAGAAAGTTACACAAGTTTTTATTTGATTTTGCAGGAAACAATTAAAGATATTCTGTTTTTACTATCATTTCGATATTATCGTTATTAACTTATGTATCAAGTTTATAATTTGAAGAGAGAAAACATAAAATCATAGACTTGTTTGATTATAAGACATATCAATTATTGTAAGTATCGTATTTAATGTAATTTTTAGTTGTTTCTGGTAAAACATTTTACGGTTTTTCAAATGGTCGTACTAAAACAAAAAAAAAAATCAGTATTTTGTTATTTCGTTTGCCTTTTTTTATATTGCTAAAACATAGTGTCTGTGAGTTGCTTTCTGATGAAACTTACCTGCAACAGTTCGTGACAATGCATATAATTCCATAAGTATTCTGAAAACTAGAAAAGAGACTTAAATTAAGCTTACAAAATCAAAAACGAACGATAAGAGTTCTTATCTCTTTTAGAGTTCCAAAACTGATTTTCAACGTCATCAAACTAAGATCATGTTGTGAATTATTTATAAGTATCTCGTAAACTTAATATAATCTATTCTGTTTTCATATAATCAATACAAATGATTGTTTTAAGATTTGTTTATGTTTGCATATTTTTCAAAGATACAACAACATAATCATCCAAACATATTGGTTAAGTAAGGAAAGCAGAGGAAAAATCCAAATTATACATTGATGCGCTACAATACAAATGCTCTAATTTCTTCAGAAAGTCTTTATTGTTCAGAGTTGATCACCTGTAAGTTTGAACATTTCAATTGTATTACCTAGAATGAAAACGGGGCATAGAGAAAAGGTCGATGTTACTGATATAGAAATTATTAAAACGATAACATCTTTTTGTTAAACATACTATAATATAAGAATAAAATTCATCAACAACAAGTGAAAATATATTTTGACACAACTTTGTAATAATGCAACATTATTTCATGAATGTATAAGGGTAGACCAAATCAGTCTTGAAAATGCGAATTGATCGTGAAAATTGTTGTTTTTTGGTCACGGGTTTTTATAAGCATACTCGATCAATCTAGCTTGTAACATTCTGGTCTATTTGCTGAAATTCCACTTTTGTAAAACATCATCTTATTCACAATTCTAGATATATGACATGTATTTATTAATATTGGATTAAATTTATCAATCTAACTGTTGTATAAACATTTGTTCAGTCTTGACTGACATTGTTGCTACGCCAAAAAAAAAAATGCGGGAAAAAAGTAAAACTGTTTTTCCATTAAAAATAATAATGGTCAATTAGTGCAAAATAAAATAGAACTGTTGATTAACCTTTGTTACATGAAATTGAGTTTCAATAAATAAAACCGGCCCTGAGTCTATTTGAAAGAGCTTTTAATTTTCTCGATGTATTAAAGTGATGCAGAAACACAAAATATCTTCATCACGACTGAATTCGAAAAACAAGACATTTGTCTTAAAAGGGCGTTAAGAACTGTCGATCATGGATTCTTCCAATTTGTTCGTCACGTACAATCAAAAGAGGCAAACGGTTACATATCCAATCGAAAAAAATGTTGACGCTCAGCGATATGCTTTAAATTGAAGGATATTCTTGTTCTTTTAAATAAATCATGTGATACTTTTAGTGCATACATCAAAAATACTACCAAGATCCAAGTTTTTGAAGCTTGTACGTAGTCCAAATCTCCATCGAAAACAATATGCTAATGTTAGTTTTTGAATCGTATACACTTTCATGTGATAACTAAACTAGATTTATTTATGGATATGAAACTTCAGAATGGTTACGTTTATTTTGAATGTATACAATAAAGTTAAATGTGAATTTTTATAAATTGTATTTTATAGTACGTATTAAATAATGTACATTGTTCAATTTAATTAGTGACACATTCATTTGTTTAAATTATTAGTATATTTTAAATGTTCAGTCTATACATTTGTGTTCTATAATTTATTTATTGGACCATTTAAAATTATTCTAAATCTAAAGTTGCGTCCGAAATGTGTTTATTTTATAATTGAGCATGTTCTTTTGTCTTTCTCAACATTATTGTTTATCATATATAAATTCAAAGATCAACATTGAAAGAGGACTTTTACTGCGTGTGCTCCTGTCATGCAAATGTGCTGGGAATGAAACATTTTTTGCAAAACTAAATCCATCGTCAAACACTACTTCTGTATGATAGTGTGTATTTCTGAGTATAAAAGCATCATATATCTTAAAATATAACACACAATTACTGAAATTTCTAAACAAAATCGAACATAACCAAGAGTTCGATTGTAGACAATCTGGCTATTCATATAGAACAATTTTTTTTTTTTTTTTTTTTTTTTGAATTTGAAGTTTAGGCAACTTCAAAATATTCATGGAAGGCCTCAAAGCTGGTCTGAGAAAGTGCAGGCAATCACATAGTGCATAGTAACTATTAAATAAAATGTAAACACTATCGATAATTGGAATAAAATGAATGTTGATGTTAGAAGCACATAGACAACTGTTAAAATCAATTACTATATATAAGCAAAGTGTAAAAAAATAAATGCAAATCTGTCAATTAAAGTCGTAATTATTTAGAAATGAAAATGAAATAAAACAATTAAGGAGACTCTAATCTATAGGATTATGAATGTATAAATTTAATATAATGTTTGTAAAATAATAACAATTACACTTCTCTCGTCATTAAAACAGACAAGAAAAATGTCGTCTCATGCATCCTTCTTTAGGTTTTGTGTAATATTTTAACAACAAAGTGATATTTAATCTACCTGAAAATTAATCGGAGTTATCTTTGTATCCTGATGTGTTCCCATTAAAAACGGATTTCCTTGTTACAGTATTCAATGCAGCGAAAACATGTCAATAGATAACAAGCTATGAACCGCATAATTATAATGAAATTCATTGTGGCAGCTGATACATAAGCATTTCAAAATATAATTGTTGAAGCCATGAAAGGGCTCAATACAAACTAAGTATTTTATCAGCATGTAAATGCGAATGCACTATTCTTTTTTTATTCATATCTTAACATCAATACTGACTGATAGCGGTGTCATTGCAATTCTGTTTAACAAAATATTTCAAAAATCTGGAATAAGAGTGATTCATCACAAGCAAAATAAACAGAAAATTACATTAAAATACTGACCTTGTTCGATTGAGTTTGTACATATTTATGAAAGAGCCTAATACATGTATATATTACAAACCCTTACGAAACCATGTATTGTCCTTCTCCACACTGGTTTAGAAAGTTCTCTACCACGATTACCTACAGCCTCTAAACTATCTCCAAAGGAATATACAAGAGCATTGAATTGACTGACATTGCTTACATAACAGATGAAAATTTATATCAATGTGATATGAATGCAACTGAAAAAAATAGGCTGACAATTTTGATAAAATTATATTTCTAAAATTATGAAATAATATTAGATAACAACCAAATAAATTGTACTTTTATTTTAATATTGTTAAGATATTTTATTTTTTCTCTTTTATCCAAAGAAATCAAAAATGAATATTACAAAGGATGATGAGTTTAATGTAAACGAACATGTATATTCCTCTTATCAAAGACACGAAAACGGGACCGCTTTCACCATTACACTACAATGATTTGCGTTTATATAAACACTAAATTCTTAAGGTTTTCGACTTTCGATGAAAACATTATAAAGCAATATAATTTGAATAACGTATTTTATAGCTATTGCATAGTCGATATGTTAACTATATCGGATTCCATTTGTCTTTAGCCGGTGTGATTGCAACGCGTTATTGATTGAGCCATTTGGCGTCCAATTCATACCGTTTATAGTTTTGAATCATAATATTTATGAATGGTTTGATGTATCGTTCATTTTTGTACAGATGAGTGAGATATTTTTATAACTCCAAGAAAGTATGACAAAAAGTTAATATGTATATACAGTAGTTTTAATTCATTGTCTATAATTATTTTTTTATCTATTTCAGAGGTGATGACAGTTTATTTAATGTTCGATAAGTCAAATATTGCATGTAAAAATATGTCGGTGGAAAGTTGGTCTTTCTCAACTCGATCAACAATTAAATAATATTCATGGTAAAATATTTTACAGTTTTGTAATTTTCAAGTTTTATTTTTATCAATTTTTCAACAATTTACAATTACTAATCTCACTGGATTATTGTGTTTACACTAGTGGTAGATATACGTATCTTCACCTAACGTATGTATGCTGAGTTGCAAGCTTTAACATAATGTTCTTGTGCATTGTGTGGATGAGTTGCGTGCATAACATGATGTAGTGTTTTTTAGCCTGACAGGTTACGAATAGTGCATAGTGCAGATTTACACGATAATTTCTTCAATCAATAATATCTTTTGTATGTGATAAAATTCAGTTACATCCTTGGGAAACCGATATTAACTTATGATCAATAGCGGCAATGTCTGTTTTTAAAATGATTATCTATTTTTTCTATAATATGAAAACTAAAGTTTAAAAGTCACCGTATTCTTTACGCAGCTATATCTGCATTTAAAAACATAAACTCAATCTATTTTTACCTTCATTTATTGTGATATCAAACACTGTATGATTCGTTCTGATATTTGTTATCAGAATCTGATATCTGCTGTCGGTATTAACTCGGCTCGGGAATGGAATGCCGTCAAAAGTCATAAAATAAGAAATAATATATTATTATAAATTATAATACATTATATGTATCAGTCAAGTTATTTTTAAGAAATATACTTCAATATTGCTTACTGTGTTGTTCCATATTGTTTTGCTTTGAAAGCTTTAATTTAAATTGCGATGTTTTTGGTGTTTTTGTTTTTTTTTTTGGGGGGGGGGGTGTTGTTGTTGTTGTTTTTTCAATAGAAAACTATATTGGTGAAAACAAAACAACATATTATTTTAATTTATTTTTTGTTTGTTTGTGTTTCAATAGGCATAGTGTTATTGACAAATACACTATTTTCTTAATTAACTCTTTAAGTTTGTGGTAAATAATTCCTTGTAAACTCAATCATACCTTCTTACCGTTCGTTTTCGCAATTAAGAATCAATCCAAAAAATGTATATATTTCACAGAATGGATGTCAACCTAACTCAGAAGAGATGATGGAGACTACATACCTTCATGACGACAGTCATGTGAAAATGAATCAATTGTATTTGCTAATATGTCAGAAAAGATTTGATGAACTGATGAACTATCTACAATTGCGTGTAGAAGGAGTTTTAAGTAAATCTATCTTCTCTTTTCCTAACATACGCTGTCAATATCATTTTGCGAATTTTATTTTGGTTTAAGCAGGGGTTCGTTTGTTAACATGACTGCACTTTTACAAACGTCTGTTTTGAGCTTACAAAATGAATGTATATCTTAGAAAAACAAAAAACAGTCTTTTTTAAAGAAATTGAAATAGTTCTTACATTGGAAATCAACTGTTTAATATAGTTACCCAAAGGACCATGTTTTGAAGAGAAGTGTTAACAAATAACTAGTCTATGACAAATTAAAGCTCTTGTTAGTTGTCTCTTATTACTCGTCTAGAAAGCCGTTATAAAGATAAAATAATATTAAATTGACAGATTTCATGATAGGGAAATTGTGAGTCTGTAAAGATAGCATGTTATGCCATATATAAACTGGGTTAAAAATATAAAGAATTTTCATTGTATCTTCAAGTCAAATTCAAGTTTTGTGTGAAGTTAGGTATTCGCATATTCCGCTATATGAGATTAAACGTTTGATTGTTTACACTTTAGTTATATTCGTTGATAGTTAGCACCTTTTCCTGTTGTTTGGGAATATTTATATCATATTACAACATGGGAAGTATATATACTGCAGAAGAACCATAGTTAAATACATGATATACCTCTCAGATTAGATTAGATGAGAATGTTCTTTTTAGATCTTGTAGATTTTAGATATTGAAGATGAGCATGCTTATGTTATTTTTTATATTTTTTTTAATATTCGCAAGTTTTATTTGTAAGAAGTACTTAAGACAGATTATTGTAAGAGTTTTTAATGCTTATGTAACTTTTAAAGTAACTGTTTGGTTTGGGGAAACATGAGGTCA